GGATTGCGTTCACTGGCTATCGAAGTTTTCCATCAACTCGTCGAGCACAAATTCATTGAATATTTAAAAAGAAAAATATTATGTGGCTTTTATGAAAATGAGTATTTAAAATTCTAGCTCAGTCTACTCTTAGTTTCTGGATCCGTTCCTGAGCTCAACTCGATTCGCTTGATCAACGACTCAGCTCGAATTCGTTTAAAGCTCATTTAGTTGACAAGTCGAGCTCAGTTGGACTCGATAAGGCTCATTAAAGCTTGAAAAATAATTTTTATATAGTTCAACTTGATTTTAGTTCATTAAGGCTTGACCTCGGCTCGTTAATATTGGTAAACGAGCTAAGCTCAAGCTCGATTGTAAGCTCATTAAGTTAACATACCGAGTCGAGTTCGGCTCGGCTCGTTTACCCCCTAATCGCATCGCACAATTCCATTATACTACTGTATACTTCGTCACAATGGGCTACCACTACATGTTACAATCATTTTACCACCATGTTATAATTTCATTTGTGATATCTAAAATATTGAAAAAAATTCAAAATTAGTCCTATAATTTGACCACATTTCAAAAAAACTCACCCCGATATTGACCACTTTCAATCAAGTTCATTTTTTTATCAGCAAATAAGGACTGAGGCTGATGTGGATTATTTAATTGTGAAGTCAATATTTCATAATCCCTCCACATAAGCCACAATCACACCATATCAGGTTTAAAAATGTCACATCAATTTTTTATCCAGGGTGCAGATAAAAAGAGACCAAAATTGATTAAATCGACAAATTATTAGACTTAGATTGAAAGTGGTCAATGACAGGGTGAATTTTTAGAATATGACCAAATTATAGGACCAATTTTAAATTTTAGCCCTAAAATATTTGTTTCAAAGTTTGGACCATAAAAGTTGCCTTTTTTATTATGCTAAAAATAGTTATTCCCACTGATATTTTTATCTCTTTCTTTTTTCTTCATTCTATTTATTTCTATCACGCACATTATACACAAAATTGAATTGAATCAAACAATCCACTAACAAAGATAAATAAAAGTTCAAATGAATTTAGTAGAATAAACTATAATAAATTAGACTGCCATGACAAACATAGTACTGATCAAACAATAAAATGATTTGTTATTTAGCTGTTAAAAACTTGACCCAAAATTTCATACAATACACCCTAACACGAGTATTNCGCGAAAAAAAAAAAAAAAAAAAAAAAAAAATCTGGACAAAACTCAAAAGCCCGTATTCTCAGAATACGTTTTTTTAATTAAATTTTTTAAAAAAACGCATTCTCGTAATACGTTTTACAATTATATTTACAATATAAAACGTATTCTCAGAATACTACGAGCTTTTAATTTTTGTCCACATTTTCAATTTTTTTTTTGGTCCAGTTAAACTTTTATTTTTTAATTGGGGAAAAAAAATTCTAACACATAAGCCATCGTACACCAAAACCAAAAACTGCATATGGAAAGGAACATAATTCTCCCTCTCAATACTTCAAATTTCACTCAACAATCAATACTCAATACCCAATAACAAGACCTACCAAAACTTTGCCACTAGAAAAATACACTTGATCATTATCATCTATCCATCCTGTAGGCTTTATCATATTAACATCAATTGCAGAATGATCAAAACCATCTTCCTCCTCCTCCTCATCATCATCACTCGCAGCTCGACTCAGTTCAAACTCATTATCCGGACTCACTCCATCATCGTCCCATTTTATCTTGTCAATATACAAATCCGGGCCCGGTATTGGGTAATTAGTGGCCTGATTTGGGTGCTCGATATTGAATTTCTTGGCGAAAAAAGCATTCTTGGCGTGGTCAAACGCGTCCTTAGCTGCCGAGTCATCCCAATCGATGATCTTACCTGGCGAATGTATCGACTCTCTTTTGGCCTTTAAGAAATTTTCCCATGTGAATAAGCCGATTGTTTGGCAGAATTCTTTCTCCCACGATGGTATAGCGGGCACCCAAACCTCTGTTGATAAAAATTAAGAAAAATAAAATTAATAAAATAGTAAAGTAGGATATATATATATCAAAGTTGAAAGAACAAAATAAGGCCGTAAGAATATTTACTATGAGAATATTGTTTTCTGAAATTCGAGCTCTTCCTTCCACGAACTTCTCCACGATCATGGTAGAATGTGCCATACATGTTCCTCATCTTTTCTTTTGTTTGACCTCAATTCAAGATAACTGTAATGAAGAAGCACTTGATATAGGCTAGTCATGTACATATATATAGATAGAAAATAAAACTGTTTCCTACGTCTATGAGGCAAAGCGAAGAGTAAAAGAGAGAAAAATATATATAATCTTTTTTATTTGGTATAGCATTTTCCTATATTAATAAGTAGTAGTATTTATTAATTTTAGGTTTGGAAACGGATGAATGCATTGGATTTAATTGTTTTTGGATTGTTTTATGTCACAAATAATCAACACGTGCAAACCGAATTTAGAAAGGGGAAAAATATTTTTGTTGCTCAATGTTTACGTGCCCTTCAAGTATCTCAATTTCTCCTTAATTAATTTGATACCCTAAATTTCATATATCAAGTTTATTTGTGCATTCTGTTAATTGAATGACAATTAGCTAAAGATTAAGCCGTTGAAGAAAAAAAATGTATATTATAATTTATGAATAATCAAAAAGTACATCTCAATCATTGATGTGAGACTTGGATCATCCAAAATTGGCACAAAATGTTCGGAATTAATTCGCATGCAAAACTTTATCGGCCCATTGTTATACATTAGAATACAAATCGAGGATCAGGAATTACCGTTCGTTTCTTTGGAAGACACACTTTTTATAATTTTTTTAAAAATCAAATTCTTGGATCTTCGGTCAAGCATTATCAAACTTAATAAGAAAATATCAAATGTGATTAAAATAAAAAAGTTAAGTTATCAAAATTAATTAAATTGAAACTTGGAATGCTAAGGACGTGATTGAATATGAGTTATGACCGATTTTAAACGATTATGATCAGCTCATTTATTTCATATCAAATCATCTAATTCAAAATCAAACTCAAGCAAATTCTACTACTTTTTATAAATATAATTAAATAATACTAATTAATCATTCTCACATGTTACATCAACTTTAATTAACTATTCACTACACACATACTTTTAACTACATATCACTTGCAATAATATTTCTTCTTCTTTTAAGTATGAGGATTTTGTAACGACTCATTGGGTCCTCTCGACATCTTCGTCGCAAAATTGGAGCTTGAAAAAACTCATTGGGTCTGCCCGACCCCTCCATGTAAATAAATCGGTCTTAAAAAACACCTCATCGGGTCGTCCTGACCCTCTTACGTAAATAAGCAGGCTTTAAAATACTTATAATTTTTCGGCTTCTTCTTTGGTGTACCCAAGCTCGAAGCCTACAGTTTTCCATCTCTTGTTACCCTGAGAAGCACTATCGATCCTTTCAGCCTCCTCTGCTGTCGAACAAGGCACCAATTATGATGGTCGACTATGGTCAACCACTCGACTTTCCGTCGTGGCGTTCCACCGCGGAGTTTATTTCTTCACGCAACATTGTCTTTCCAATTCATGAGACCTGACGACGGCAAGGGCCAACTGTTGTGTAGTCCATATTTGGGTTCCAAATTTAAAAGTCAAAGAAGTAAGTATTCATAACTTAAGGGTCAATTACTCGGACGTACAAGGAATATTCAGTTATTTATCGTTTAATAAATTATTAAACTTCTTAAATTTTTTAATTTGGATAGTTTATACAAAAATAAATTTCTTTAAATTAATGAAATAATATGAGTTTTAAAATTATACTTATTATTCACATATATTTTTAAATATATGATAAAAAACTACCAAAATAATTATTTTATGGAATCAAATTGTTGTCAAATCGAATTTATAAATAAAAGTTTTAAAATAACACTTATTTTGAAATAAATATAATGTAATTTTTTATCATTTACGTGCACCATACATGTTGTGTACTAATTTTAAATAGACATGTTTTATATAATTTTGTACAATTTTAATTTCATGTAGTATGTAAATTGTATTACATATTGATTATATATTTTTAATTTATAAATATTATTTAATAAGTATTTTTATAAATATTAATAAATATGTTTTGGTCGGGCATGACACGGGTTGGTACTAGTTAATGTGAACATATGTAATCTATTTTTATTTTTTTTGTTTTAAACACATGGATCTGTATTTTTCAATTTAATTTCTAATAATTTCTTGCTGCCTAGCGACCAGCGTTTGAGTGTCCAAAAGAAGCCCACATAGCCATTGTTGGAGATAAACTGATAAAACTGCAGGTGAAAAACTGAAAAGAAGGGTTGAAAAGGAAAAGAAAAACACATCCAGAGTAGAAAGAGAATCAAACATGGCGACCTTCTGCTTCAGCCCGGGCAGAAGCACAGCAGTCGTGGCGCTCGCAAGAGAAACTGGTAAACAGAAAAGCAGCAGCAATAGCATCGAGCGAGTTGACTTGACGGAAAAAGTGAAGAATTCGCGGGTTCTGATACTCGGCGGAACCGGAAGAGTCGGAGGCTCTACCGCCCTTTCCCTGTCCAGATTCTGCCCCGATCTTCGGATCGTCATTGGTGGTCGGAACAGGTAACCTTTGTTCGTTTGTTAATGGAGATTTGCTAATTGCTAACCCTGCCTTTGTTCGTATCTTCCAAAAATGTCTTTAATCTGCTGTTCATGTGCGTGCATATTCCTGTGTTATGTGTTTGGATTCATTGTTTTGGTGAAGAAAGTTTGATGCTTTTTATTGAATACTTGACTCTGCGAAAATATTGGTACTATTGGATGTTGGGGTCTCTAATGTTGCACTTCAAACATGTGTTTGATTAGTAACATATTTGGTAGCTAATGATTATTTGGCTGTTTTCTTTTGTACTTGTTAAAGTTTACTTGTGAAAGTAAGATCTGAATTTCAGAAAACTTCAATCAACCAAGCAGGGATAAAGGTGCTGCAATGGTGAACAAATTAGGCAACAATTCTGAATTCTCAGAAGTCGACATCAACGACAGTAAATCACTGGAAGCAGCTCTAAAGGGTCTGTAACTCTTATGATTGATACTCGGTCTCCAAGTTACACTGCCAATGATTTCCTGTTTCCTTTATTTGTTAGATCACCAAAAGAATTTCAATAATTTCCAAAACTTGGCTATGCATTAGATGTGGATCTCGTGGTTCATACTGCTGGGCCGTTTCAGCAGGCCAATGAGTGCAACGTTCTTGAAGCCGCTATCCAGAACAAGGTGAGAAACAGGTAATGGTCTCTGTTATTTTTTATTTTGAATGTGTTGTGTAATCTTTTTGGACCATTATCTTGTTTGATTACTTAATTTATTGTCATGATATTATGGGTGATGTTAATTGTTTTCCGTTAAAAACAGACAGCGTACCTCGATGTCTGTGATGATACAACTTTTGCAATGCGTGCAAAATCGTACATGAAGAAGGCAATGGATGCAAATGTTCCAGCTATAACAACTGGAGGAATCTATCCTGGAGTGAGCAACGGTTCTGTTGCATTATCCTTGTAAAGCTGTTTATGAATTTCAAAAGGGCTACATATTGCACAATAAGCTTTTTTTTTTCCTTTTCTTTTCTTCTTTATTTTATTTTTTATTTTATTTTTTTATCACAGTTGAAATTTTATCTGGTTTTAGTTGAATGATAGGTAATCGTGGTGTTTTGTGTGTACTTTTATGTGGTTGTATGATTTTTTTTTAGAAATTCATTGCCTAATGGTTAATTGTATCAAAATCTGAAGATTGACCAATCATACTTTGCCCGTAGGGTGCTCTCTGATGCTACCTATGAGTTATGAATTTTGTAGTTTGCCAAAATTTGGTTGAAAATTCTGCCCAGCATTCGACACACCTGTGCGACCAAGTCTCGATTTTAATATGATTGTGGTGTGGCATTATATGTATTATTGCCATCCTGCGTCGGCTTTATCTTGTTTTATATATTGGCTGAGGGGCAATTACTCAGTTTGAGACATTAATTTTTTTATTTAATATTGTCACAGTGATGGCAGCAGAGCTGGTTCGTGCAGCTAAAAGTGAAGGCAAAGGTGAACCAAAGAGGCTGAGGTAATTTATTTTCTCAATCGTCATATATGGCTTGCCTTAGATAAACGGTAAAAGTTCTGAATGATTAATTCTAAGTTGATAAGACTTGCTGCTTACTGGAGCAAAAGTCTAAGTTATTCGTCAATGTAGTGATTTTCTTATATTTCTCAAAAGTTCATGTGCAATTATAATTACAAACATGTTTTCTTATTATTAGGTTCTATTATTACACTGCTGGCTCAGGTGGTGCTGGCCCAACAATATTATCAACTAGCTTTTTACTTCTTGGAGAGGAAGTCATTGCATATAGTCAAGGTTGACTAGTACTATGTTAATTTTACCGCCCGCTTTTTGGCCCATTATCTTCTCTTGTTGATATTAATCGGGCACAAAGTATTTGACAGGAGAGAAAATTAAGCTGAAACCTTATAGTGGAATGCTCAGCATTGATTTTGGAGAAGGAATTGGGAAAAGGGATGTTTTCCTCTTGTAAGTTTCTCATATGATAAAAGCTGTTAATTGCTTTATCTTCCTAGTAAAACATGGCTCTAATACTCTAGCTTTTAGGAGGATCCTGCAAATGAGACGTATTTAGTAACTTGTGATCTCGTGTAACTTACTAATTGATAATTGAGTCTTTGTTTTTATTTGAATCTTATTAAATCTTTTGCCACTATATATTTCAGTAAATGTATGCTCAGTTCAACACTTGATCAGCTTGTCATATTTGGTATCAGTGTAATGTGGAGTTCTTCTTTACTATTTACTAATATTTTACAAAGATGACACTTGAACAGAGTTTGTTGGATGCCCTCTATATTAGATGCTAGAAAAACATCAAAGATGCATACAGAAATATTATTTTGTATTTGCTACAATGCATGGTTATTGGATGCATAGTGATCATTTAATTTCAGGCTAAATCTACTACAAGGCAACCTTCATTAGCAGCTTTTCTTTCTCCGCATAAATCTAAGTTTTCTTTTTTCTTCATTTTCATCTATTTTCCCAGGAATTTGCCTGAGGTGAGGAGCATCCATGAGGTCCTAGGAATCCCAACTGTCAGTGCACGGTTTGGAACTTCACCTTTTTTTTGGAACTGGGGAATGGCAGCCATGACATATTTGTTTCCAGCTGTACGTGAAATTAAAATATGAAAACTGAATGTTTATCTTATTTGGTAAAAAAATGGGAATGCAACCTTCAGTATGGAATAGATGATGTGGTAATTAGCAAATTACATTAAGATGTTTTGCAATGAAATTGACCTCATCTTGTTATGAGCTACGTTACTTCATTTGGATGTGATTTTGTTAGTATGTTACATCTACAGGAAACCCTGAGAGATAGAAGTAAAGTTCAACAATTAGTTGAATTGTTCGACCCGTTAGTTAGGGCAGTTGATGGATTTGCTGGAGAGAAGGTGTCAATGAGGGTACAATCACTTCTCATGTCGCGCTATCTTTCACTGCATATTTGATATTACTTTGAGTATTCGTTTTAAATTTTAAATTTAAATTAGTTAAACAAGTACTACTTGAAGATTTGCACAATTGTTTAACATCCCAACCAAACAGGTCGATTTGGATTTTTCAGATGGGCGGTCCAGGGTAGGAATATTCAGCCACAAAAAACTATCTGTGTAAGTCTTTTGTCATTTTTTTTTTCCATTCCTCATGATACTTTCTGACCACACTGAGCTTCAGACAAATGTTGTTCTTTATACCGATTTTTGT